GCCACAGACCTCCCCCTGCAGCCCGCCCCCCCGGGGGCTCCCCGCCCTCTGACCCACTGCCATGTGGAGGCCGTGTGGGGCCCCGGAAAACTCCGTGTTACTTACCGGGGGGCCTTTGGGTCCAGGAAACCCCGTGGGTCCTTGGGGCCCGTTTGGTCCCTGGGGACAGAGAAGGGCCAGTGTGAGGTCAGGCGGCCTCTTGCCAGCAGGCGGGGGCTCCCGAGGCCTCGGGGTTCCGCTCCGTGCACAGGCCCAGTCCTGCAACCCCCACTGCGGCCCCATCAGCTCTAAGCCCCCCTCACCAGGGCCGACAAGGAGGTCCGTCGGGGGCCAAGCCGGTCGCAGGGCAATGCCCCTCAGGCAGCACAGGGCTGAGGACCCAGGTTCCCAGTGGCCCAGCCACCCCACCCCCCAGACCAGGCCAAGTGGACGGTCCCGGCTGCCCCTCTCCCCGCCTGGACGTCAGCGGTCCCTCTCCCCGGCCCACCCGAGGTCCGCAGGAAAAGGTGGGTGCTCACCCGTTCACCCGGGGGGCCGGCCGGGCCATCGCCTCCAGAGTTGCCCTAGAGGGAGCAAGGACAGCGCATGGGTGTTGTTGTAGCTGTCTGATCGGAGCCTCTGCCACGACCAGGGTCACAGCCCTGCCCTGTCACCTGCCCCTGTGCCCTGTCACCTGCCCCCGTGCCCTGTCACCTGCCCCCGTGCCCCGTCACCTGGCCCCTCTTCACCTGCCCCCGTGCCCTGTCACCTGCCCCCGTGCCCTGTCACCTGTCCCTGTGCCCTGTCACCTGCCCCCGTGCCCTGTCACCTGCCCCCGTGCCCTGTCACCTGTCCCTGTGCCCTGTCACCTGCCCCCGTGCCCTGTCACCTGCCCCCGTGCCCTGTCACCTGTCCCTGTGCCCTGTCACCTGCCCCCGTGCCCTGTCACCTGTCCCTGTGCCCTGTCACCTGCCCCCGTGCCCTGTCACCTGTCCCTGTGCCCTGTCACCTGCCCCCGTGCCCTGTCACCTGTCCCTGTGCCCTGTCACCTGCCCCCGTGCCCTGTCACCTGTCCCTGTGCCCTGTCACCTGCCCCCGTGCCCTGTCACCTGTCCCTGTGCCCTGTCACCTGCCCCCGTGCCCTGTCACCTGTCACCTGCCCCTGTGCCCTGTCACCTGCCCCCGTGCCCTGTCACCTGGCCCCGTGCCTGCTGTCAGCCCCCCACTCTCAGTACAGAGCAGAGCGCCGGGCCCTGGCCCACGCCCCAAAGGCCACCTGTCCTCTACACACAGCTGACAATGAGCTGATGTCACGGCTGTGACACTCCCAGGGGACAGCCTCCTGCTGTGGGACAGGGGCTGAGCCCAACCAAGAAGACAGGACAAGGCACCCAGAGCTCATCCCAGACGGTCGCACCGCAGCCTCTGAGGGCAGTGGGTCAGCGCAGGGCGGGCCAGAGCTGGACCACGGCCGAGCTGGGCCAGTGCTTGGCGGGAATGCGCTTTGGGACCACGTCCAGGACAGGACCCAGGGGCCGTGCGGCCGAGGTCACTCCACACCCACCCTTGGAGCTGTGTCCACGCCCCTCGCTCCTCTCTGGGGGGTGGGCGCGGCTCAGGCTCTCGCCTGGCCACCAGCGAGAACTTCCTTTAGATTTCCAGCGAAGGCCTCTCTGCCGCTTCCACCCCCACATCCCCCCCAAGAGAACAGGCCCCCCCAGCAGAAGGGGGCGCAGCACTGTCCATCCCCAGCCCAGCGGGGCGTGGCCTCCAGCGGGGGCTCCAGCACTGGCCCCTCCCCGCCCGCCCGGCCCGGCCCGGCCACAGCCTGTGATGCAATCTGACCCAACTCGTCCAAAGGCTGTGGGGGGACCAGCTCCTTCTTAAATGCCCCCCAAAGCGTCCTTCCTTGTCTTGTTTCGCAGGAAAAGGCCCCAAGGACCCCGACGCTCCCTGTGGTAGGGCGGCCACCACGGGAGCCGGAACGTACCTTGGGGCCCGGCTTCCCCGTGATGCCCCGCGGGCCCCTCTCACCCCGTGGACCCTACACAGAAGGGAGAGGAGAAAGTCAGCTCAACCCCAGGCTCCAAGCCCGCCTCCCTCGCCCCCCGGCCCCCCACATGCGCCCTCAGCCCAAAGGGGGCGCTTACCGTTGGGCCTCGCTGCCCCCGTGGTCCCGGCTTCCCAGGGGTGCCCTGGAAGAGAAGGGGGGCGGCTCAGTCGTGGCCATCACCGCCTGGGCGGTGGCCTCTCCTATCAGGAGCCTCGTCTTTGTTTTTTTAAATAGATTTTTATTGATTTCAGAGAGGAAGGGAGAGGGAGAGAGAGAAACATCAGTGATGAGAGAGCATCATGGATCGGCTGCCTCCAGGACACGGGATGGAGCCCACCACCCGGGCCTGTGCCCTGACCGGGAGTCGAACCCTGACCTCCTGGGTCATAGGTCGATGCTCCACCCCTGAGCCCCGCCGGCCGGGCCCCTCGTCTTTGTTTTAATTGGAGACTCGCAGGGAGTTCAGCCCGGAGCTGCGCTCCTCCCGCCCGAGGCTGCTGAGGTCGGAGGGGTGCTCACCCGGATGCTCACCCGTTACCGGTTTCTCTCCTCCAGGCATCTGCCCCTCCTCCCCCGCCCCCTCCCCTCGTCTCCCTCCCACCAGGGTGGGCCCTCATCACCGCACAGGAGACAGCCAGCCCTTCACACACCACGTGTCTGCCACAGGGGAGGGTACGAGCCATTACATTCTCTACAGGCTCCGACCAGCCCCGCGCGTTTCACACATAAGCCCTGCGTCTCCCTCGCGGAACTGGGCTCAAGTGGCTGTTTTGCATTTTCTAAACCTCAGGAGACAGAGGCGCTGGGTGTCGACGTAAACTCTGGTAAAGGCAGCTTCCCCGAGGCACGTGGAGTCACGGGACGGACAGGCCCCTGTCCCTCCACCGCTTCCGAGGCGCTCTCCGGAATTGTTCCGGTTTCTGGCCGCCCGTCCGTCCGGGAAGGAGCCGTGTGCTCCGGGCCCTGCTTAGTCGTCCCGCACAGTAAACCCACTAGATCTCCGCGTGGCAGAGCCAGCTGCCCGGGGCCATGCTGTCCTTACCCGGCCGCCCTTCTCTCCGTTGGCGCCCGGAAAGCCAGGAAATCCGATGGAGCCCTGGAAGAGAGGGGGGCGGAGCCTGAGGCCGGGCCAAGCAGGAGCTCTGTGTGCGAGCCAGCGGAGGGCGCCTGTCCCGGTCCCCAGCCTCCGACACACACTCCTCCACCCACCCACCACCCATCCGCTCACCCAGCATCCACCATTCACCCACCATCTACCATCCACCCACCACCCATCCGCTCACCCACCATCCACCATTCACCCACCATCTACCATCCACCCACCCCCCATCCGCTCACCCACCATCCACCATTCATCCACCATCTACCATCCACCCACCATCTATCCACCCACCATCCATCATCCATTCATTCATCCACCATCCATCCATCCATCCATCCATCCATCATCCATCCATCCATCACCCATCAATCCATCCATCATCCACTCACTCACCCACCCACACACCATCTATCCACCCACCATCCATCATCCATTCATTCATCCACCATCCATCCATCTATCCATCCATCCATCCATTCATCCATCCATCCATCTGCTCACCCACCCACAATTCACCCACCATCTACCATCCACCCACCATCTATCCACCCACCATCCATCATCCATTCATTCATCCACCATCCATCCATCCATCATCCATCCACCCATCTACCCATCCATCCATCATCCATCATCCATCCATCCATCATCCACTCACTCACCCACCCACCCACCATCTACCATCCACCTGCCATCCATCATCCATTAATCCATCCATCCATCCATCATCCATCCACCCACCCACCCATCCTTTGGGGGGGCATTCCTGGGGGGCATTTTGGGGGGGCTGAGTGGGAAGATGGGAGCAAAGGGCAGGTGTAGGGCTCTGCACATGGAGAGAGAGACCAGCGGGGCTGTAGCTGAGACGGGAGCCCGGAGCCCCTGGGGGGGAGCCCCCCGGGACTGGAATGTGCTCCGAGGACACACTCAGGTGAAAGGGACGGGTCCATCCATAAATGTGAGGGTGGGCGGCGGCAAGAGCGTCAGGGTGAAGCCAATGGGCATGAGCATTTCCTAAGCATCTCAAAGACTCCAAATCTAAAAACCACAACTGAGTCCTGTGTTTCCCCTTCCTCCCTCCCTCCACACCCTCCTCTTGCGTGGCCATGTCTTCAAAGAGCTGCTGTTCCGGGAGAAAAGGGAACACCTACAACTAAGATTAACCGGCGACAGCGTGTGAATCTCACATTGGGACACGGCTCACTGCACCTGTTGTCACGTTCTGCTGTCTTCCGGAACACCGCTAAATACAGCGCGGCTGCGAGTCAGAGATGAGCGCAAACCACGCACCACCTGGAGCCCTAGATATAGATCTGTCACCCCAGCGCTCCACACGGGGCACGGGGACAGCGGGGAGAGCTCACACAGTGCACGTGGACAGAGGAGAGAGCCCCACGCGGTGCACGGGGACAGCTCAGAGCTCACACAGTGCACGTGGACAGAGGGGACAGCTCACACAGTGCACGTGGACAGCTCAGAGTTCACACAGTGTGTGTGGACATAGGGGAGAGCCCCACACGCTGCACGTGGACAGCGGGGAGAGCCCCACAATGTGCGTGGACAGAGGGGAGAGCCCCACGTGGTGTACGTGGACAGAGGGGAGAGCCCCACACTGTGCGTGGACGGAGGGGAGAGCCCCACACTGTGCGTGTGGACAGAGGGGAGAGCCCCACACTGTGCACGTGGACAGAGGGGAGAGCCCCACACTGTGCACGTGGACAGAGGGGAGAGCCCCACAATGTGCGTGGACAGAGGGGAGAGCCCCACGCTGTGC